CAATAGAGAAAATTCACTAAGAGCTCGATATCTCCTCAGAAACAAGCCAGAAACCCAAACGTTTTTTTACTATAGACATAGCTCACTATGGGCTACAAGATGCGCGAAACCTCGACTGAAAAGCGCTCCGACACCTGGGAAGGTTCCCTTGTCAGTATGAGTAAGAAGAGGGATGTAGGATGTGAGTAAGTGTGGGTACGAGTGTTGATGGGTGTAGGGTGTGGGTGCAGGATGTGGGTAAGTGTGAGTACGAGTATTGGTGGGTGTAGGGTGTGGATGTTGGTGTGGTTTAGGAATAAGAATATATTAACCTAGAGTCACACCCACATCCGACTCAATGGCACTCACATTCCCACCCAAATTCATTCACTGGAACTGTCACAATCAATCATAAACAACATGAATCTTTCATAAACCCAGTTTCATTTACGGAGAAATCACAATAGAAACCAATCCATTTGTATCTAGTTTCATCCACGGGAACACCTCACACTCTTGTTGCTGCAGTTCTCGGAAAATTTTGTCCAAAGTTGGTGTCGATAGTGATAACTTATACTTTTCAATTTTAAACTCTTGCTGTTGATTTAGCCGTATTGCTGTTTTTTTATCTACTTTTTATCGTGCTTGTATATTTTTTTTGTTGTTATCGTTTTGTAGGTGACTTCAGTCTTTCAAACACAACAGAGACTGAAATCGAGTCGAATTTGATCCGAAGGACTCGGAATTTGTAAAGTCCTCGATAAATCTTAGAGAAATTTTTTGTCAAAGGCTATTTTGATCCTTTGATTGCTCGACATGACACAAGATTCATTCATCGCAAGTCAGGTAGCCTGTTTCACTTCATTAGACTTATCCATACTATGAATAGATCTTGATGAACTGACTTTAGACCAAAACGAAGTCTAGTCGATTTCGGATTTTCTTGACTCGCTTCAATCTCTGCAACATTATACGACGAATACATTTATTTTTCTTGCATTGTAGCGTCAAGTAACATCGTTTCTTCGAAGTGAAGAAGCATATATTCAAGCAAATACTAATTACAGTCTCGGTAAGATCAAATCGTCTTTTCACAACAAATATGAATCTATATCGAAGTCTAATTAAGTCGCGGAAAGACTTGAAAGGATTTATTTCAACTTTTAAGTCTAGTCGAATATTCAAACATCGAAGGTAGAGACAAGCACATGATTGTTTACTCAAAGCCTTTGTGATTATAACTGGAAAGTTTCTAAATGATTCAAAGAAAGCAATCGATTGATATTCCATGCGACCCTAATCAAGTAATTCTGAGTGGTAAATCTTCAACGGCAATGAAATTATACGCTATAAATTTGTCTTCAATGAAAGAGATATCGCACTTTTTACAACCAGTTTATTTTAAAAAACCTGACTCTTTTCGCCAAGTGATACAAACATGTAGAGAATTATTACAAAAGCAAGGCGTGCATTCTACTGTGAGTATGACTGCTGCTGGATTCAATTATACGGGCAACAGAGACACAGTCCGTTGTGATACTTGTGAACTAGAAGTATCGGAATGGACATTAGATATGAAGCCATTTACTATTCATGCACAACGGAGCCCTAAATGTGCATTTGTTCGCACTATGGTGCCGGACAGAATAACTCCTGCACCATCAACCATGAATCTTTTTGCAACGACCTCAACATTAATGAATACTGAACAGCCATCTAAACGTCAGAAAATTGAAGCAACACAAGTTATTTGTCAGCCACACAGACTTATCGAAATTGATATAGTCCAGCAAATACGAAAAAGAACGTTTTCACATTGGCCACATCGAACATCACCTTCAGGTGCCCAAATGATCGAAGCTGGCTTCTTTAACTGTAACGTTGGAGATCGTGTCATTTGTTTGTATTGTAATATCATTTGTCAACAATGGACACCGCACACTGATGACCCATGTGAAATACATAAAGCACTTTCTCCTAAATGTCCGTATGTCATCGCAATGCTAAAGAGCCAGGAAATATCATCAATTCGTATTGTTAATGAACAGCTAACCCGAGAAAACTCCACAGTGACAACAAATAACGACATATTTCGGAGTAATGAAATTGTTTATACTGCTGCATGTCATATAAACTATATTGAAATTCCTAGACGTCACGCTTCTTTTTCCACATGGTCGAACGAAAACTTGCCATCTGTTGATGATCTAGTCAGAGCAGGCTTCTTTTATACTGGTAGCAAAACTATTGTAACATGTTTCTATTGCAATGGATCATTGCAAAACTGGGGACCTAACGATAATCCAATGATTGAACATGCTCGATGGTTTCCACATTGTGCCTATGCTAAACAGCTGTGCGGTGCAGATCTGTATCGAAAAATTCAAGAATCGAAAAGAGCTCAACAAGGTTTGCTGTGTTTTTTATTTTCATCAACCAAGAATTACTAGATGTGCATTGTTGTATTTAGAAAGAGCGAATGCAAATGAAGCTAATAGACGATTCGCAAGAGGTGATGCTCTTACAGGCAGATGGCAGCTTAACATACCAGATGAGAGTACTTTATCACGATACGTAGCGGCACGACTTGATTTGCCAATTTCACAAAGCTTGCTTGACCGCAGTTATAAATTATCCATCATCAAACGTTGTTGGGAAGATCAACTTAGATTAAAGCGTAAGCTGAGATCTTATTTGTCATTTCATTAAAAAAATTCACGAATGTCTTGTCATTTTACGTGTCAGGCGATGATTTCATGGACGCTTGTGATTTGTTTGTGGCATGCTTAATCTTACAGAAGCAGATTGAAGGCATCGATGGAAAGAAAGAGAATATTATCATTCCAAGTGTAGCAATGAGCAAGATTCGTGAAAGGGTACAAGCAGGTATTTGAAAACAAAATTTGAATGTAACAATTTGTTGATTCTTATAATATGATAGAGATTCTTGCTCGTGAACAAGCTGCATGTATATCAACACTAACGAACGCTTCTAGTAGTACGGATTTCGAAATATCCACATCATCGGATTCAATTATGGATGATGGAAATTTCAAGAAGTCAACAGTAAAGACCGATCAAAAACAAGATATTAAAACAGCGATAATAACGTTACCTGCTAAAGACCAAGCTAATAGTTCTTCATCATCAAATCTTTGTGTTTTATGTTTGGAAGAAGAAAAGCGTCTCGCCTGTATGCCGTGTGGTCATTTAGCTACATGTGTTCCCTGTGGTCATTCTCTTCGATCGTGTCCGATATGTAGAACAGGCATCGATGCTTTTGTTCGTATATATCTGTGAACCGTCCTAGACAAAATTATTGCTTGAAAAAAAGTGATCTTTTAATGGGTCTTTGTTTATCGAAGAACTCTTATCTCTAAACTTTTATTTATCGTAAGTAATCTATTGGACTAGAACTGTTTTTACGATACCACTCTTCTTTATCTTGAGAAGAATTCTTTTCCTTCATTCTGTTCAATCTTACCTCGTTTATCTATATTGTTGGCAATTTCTCATTAATCCAGAACTGAATCAAAACTATTTGACACCTGACGCTCTTGAGGCAAATATGTCATACAGATTTAAAATATACGCAGTAAATTCTAAATCATATCAGTAATAACTGTTTATATAAATATAGCAGAGGGTATGGTATATGTGATCATAATTAACAAAGAAAAGGATTGAGGTTCAAGAAATGATGTTGTTGTCAAGAAAGTAAGAAAAATCAAGGAATGATGCCATCGATAATGTAAATTGCAATATTGTATATCGTTGATGAACCAAGAGAAACATTTCAGCAGTGTTTGATGGGCTACTTGAATATACTATGAGAAGCATTTAACAGTATATTTCAAGAATAATTATATCGAGATTTTTATTTAAAAATGAAATGAAAAAAGAGATTAGTGCGGACGATAAGACAGTTGTAATTTGTTTTTTAGGTTTAACTTGATTTGTTTAGCATTCATCATGAATTCTTGATAAGAAATGTACTTTTACCGAGATGTGGGTGTGAGTGTAGAGGCATGGGATGGGTTGTGCTATTTGGATGAATAGAACACTGTAAATTGGTGCCATCACTTGTGTTTTTTCTTACTTTCTATTATTGTTGTGCCATCATCACATATATGTATTCCATCCATCTATATCTTCTTCTCTCGTTCTACTGTAATGCGTGAATGCATATGTTCTCCTTATCTAGTATATTCAGGTAGGTTCATTTTATTTTTATGTATAGATTATGTATGTTCTCTCTCGTACTATCTAAAGAGTCTTGATCTCTCTATTATCTTCTATTGAATTTCTTCTATTTCTGAGCTCTCATATATATATAGATCAATTACTCGCAACAATAAGTACATTATAAATACGAGTTAAGACAAAAGCATTTTCTAACTAACAACTGGTTAGTGGTCGACTACATTCGCAGCAACTTCATCCCACACATACATACATTCACAGGCTGAAAGTGTAAGCCTGGCCCATGGAAACCGACTCATATGGAAAATAATTGATTTTGTGGAGAAAATGCGTCATCTGAACACACCTTTCATGCAATTGATTGGTTCTCAATCAGTTCTTGAACATATAAACGTGAATATGTTCACATTATCTGCACTTCTACATGTCTTTAGGGTAGGAAACGTATACATTAACAAAGAAAATACCATGTAGGAAGTATAGATGACGTAAATTCAGAAAAAAAAAACATATCGACTGCTATTGGGGAAACTAATAGAGGGGAGGGAAATAACTAATGAATATAATGACAGAAAGGAAAAACCTTATCAACCAAGTATCGAATGATGTCATGAAAGATACCCACAGCTGATTAAAACTTCGAGTTTTAGTTTTTTCTAATGCTGTCATCCAGATACAATAGCAAAATAGAACAAAGAAAAGTAATAACGCTGAGCTATTTTGTCATTTATATTATTTACATAATGAAGTATAAACTAGTAAAGTTATCTTCTTGACGCTTTTTTTCTATTTCGTTACCTGGTGTCAAGACATTCATATTAATATCCAACCAAGATTCAGCTTAATGTTTTATGTTTGACATAGAATATCTATTCAATTCATCCATCGACCAATCATAAAAATCTAGCTTCTAAGACGTGCTATGAATTAACAATAAATTTTAAGTTATTCGACTTTTATAAGCCCATGCTTTTTATTGTATAAATGATGCATAAAGTTGTGCACAAGAGAAAGCAAATAAAAAAATAGTTGTATGTTGCATGTGCAAGGCAAGAGGCTATATTTTCATTTATTTCTTCTGAAACACTTTTCGTCACAGTATTGAAATGTTTCTGCAAGAATAGTTTTAGTTGAATCTGTCTTTAAAAGAGCAATTTTTGAGCTTATTGGAATTAGAGATGCATTGGTGACGGCGCACGATCTAACTGTTTATGCATACGCTTTCAATCATGGTCGTTAATACCAATAAAACAGTAAATGTCTGAGAAACCTATATTAAGATGTTTTTGGCTTGATTTAGACTGATTTATGCTACGAAAATTGGTAGTGTCAAAAACAAAAAGATTTTCACTATGAATTAGTTATTGCATGTCATAATCGGTATCATCAATGGACGTTGCATTGGTGGCTTCTCATTATTGTTACATCCCTATTTGGGACATTTTGGATGATTACTAAAAGAATTAATAGTCTTCATCGTAGTAGAAAACATACTCAATGCGTATTCTTGTTTTATATTTGAACGAAATATGAAAAATATTGTAAAAAAACCGTTGTATTTCATAATACAAAAATAGAGGAAGAAACTGAGTAATAAAAGCAGAATCGTTATTTATATTATTACCAAGCCTGGAAGAATGATTTCAGCGACATCAACATTCTAATGATGTCATGTTTCTGCAGCACATGGTTCTTTCCTTTCCTTGCTGTTTTTTTGTTTGTCGTTGCTGTGTTCTATTTTTCTTTTCTATCGTTTATCGTTTACCATGTAAATCCGACGTAATTGAAAATGCGTCAAACAAATAAATATTGATACTCTATCGAGCTTCGCAAAATAAAATCACATTAAAACACGTATAAAAAGGGAAGAGAAAATACTACGGGAAAAAACCATGTAAGGAGATGTTTATTACAAATACTTAATGAATCTAATTGTTCTTTTTACCATTGGTAATAATTCACAGATGACACATTGGTAATTTCACAGGATAGATATGACGATGTTTTTCTTTCTATGTATCAGTTCTATATAAGGAGTACATATTCTACTCTCTCTTATTCAAAACGGACTTCGTTATTTCGATCATACTTTTGATGTAAGTAGACAACTACAAAGCAAGTTGAAGTGATTGTATTTTTACTGTTCTTTTTTATCATTAGTGCTCGTTTCTACGTATAGGTTCCTTTTTTCTGTTTTGTTATTCGTTCTCTGCTGCTCTTCCTAAAGCAATATTTTTCTCTCATTTCGACCATCTTCAGTACGCTGATATTTTCTTTCTTCACTTCCATGATATTTCCATCTTAAGTCGGATTTTATGATTGATTCATCCACATCACAGTATCTAACAACTAGATTCACGTTTCACGATCGATTCTTTTGTGTGCAAGTCATACAATACGAAATTATCTCAATAGAAGTATTGTTTTTCTCTGCTTATCTTTTGATTCTAATATCGTTCTTATGAATGGTAAAAACTAAGAGTTCTACGAAGTTTTTGTACCTCATTTTTAATGGAATTTTAAAGTTATGCATCAATGTAAATAATTACTTTCGAATCGTTGTCGTTGTAGAATTCATTAATTGTTCATATTATATTCAAACTTTTAGCTTCTTCATTGATACAAAGAAATCTGTGGATAAAGTCGCTAATGGCATTATCAATGGATATCAAACAATACTCACTAAGTACAATGCAACCAATAGAAAAAACTCATGTTAAACCAAATCGGTTGCTAAACAACCGGGACATACGTCGTCGATTAGACGAAGTATGTCAAAAATTAATCAAAAAAACAAAATTAAATTATTTTATTACTATGGCAGATGCTGGGTTCCACTACATCGACAATAAAAATAAAATACGCTGTGATACTTGTGGACTAGAAGTGTCAGAGTGGAAATCAGATATGCAACTATTTAGTATTCACGTTCAACTTAGTCCTGCATGTTCATTTGTTCGTTCTCATCTATTTATGGAACAAGCCATTGTAGGTTCCTCAACCAGCCTTATTCAATCGGTCTCAACGTTACATAATAGAGAAGAATCATCTAAATGTCAGAAAACAGAAATACCTAAAGAGAATTGTCGATTGAATACATTTGCCGAACTAGATACCTTGAAGCAAATACGCAAACGAACATTTTCACATTGGCCACACCCGACATTACCTTCGAGCGAACAAATGATCGAAGCTGGATTCTTCCATTGTAATGTTAGTGATCGTGTCATTTGTTTGTATTGTAATATTATTTGCCAACAATGGATGCCGCAAACAGATGATCCGCGTGAAGTACATAAAATACTTTCTCCTAAATGTCCATATGTCGCTGCAAAGCTAACTCGTTCTCAAGTATCATCGATTCCTATTATTAATGAAAATTTGGCGAAAGACAATTCTATAATTTCTGATAATATTAACTGTGCTCGATGTGAACAAATTGTTACTGTGACCGCATCCAATCCTCTCTATAGCGAAATACCAAAACGGTATGAATCATTTCGCACATGGCAGAATAAAAATACACCGTCTGTAGATGATCTAGTCAAGGTCGGCTTTTTTTATACTGGTACTCAAACTATTGTGACATGCTTTTATTGCAATGGGTCATTGCAGAACTGGGGAGCAAACGATAATCCAATGATTGAACATGCTCGATGGTTTCCACATTGTGCATACATTAAACAATTATGTGGAGACAAACTATATCGAAATATTCAAGAATCAAAGCGACTTCAAAAAGGTATGAATAGTTTAAAACAAAACTTGAATAATATTTGACATTGTTTCATTTTAGAACGTGATGAGAAAAACGCATTAAGTAATCGATGTGAAACAAATGTAAACAATTCATTTACTGGATCGTTGAATACACAAAATGAGAGCATTTTATCTCGTATGGTAGCAGCTCGACTTGACTTACCGATTTCACAACGTTTACTAAAAGAAAATGTCAAACTATCAATTATCAAACGCTGTTGGGAAGATCAGCTCAGAATAAAAGGTTAGATTCAAAATCAACTATTTCATTATTAGAAAATATTTGAAAAAAAATAATTTATCAATTTCTATTTAGGTGATGATTTCGTCAGCGATGCCGACTTAATAATGGCTTGTACAATTCTTCAAAAACAAATCCAATGTATTGATGGAAAGAAAGAGAATATTATTATTCCAAACGAAGCGATTAAGAAGATTCATGAAAAAAAACAAACAGGTATTTCATATAAATTATATAGAGTAAGATACAAAAGTTTTTGCCCCGAATATTGCAACTACTTCTCAGGGTAGATATGGTTAATATGTAAACTAATCATATTCACAATTAAGGCATAGCACGATGTAGAAAATTACTACAAAAATAATAAGTAATTCTCCTTCTCTAGGAATAAATCAACGCTAACTCTCACTCAGCCAAACGCAGAAACTTAAAAAACGCTTGTAGCTACGCGTGAAATATGCTTTTGCCTAACATGCATGCAAATGTGTCATAGGATAGACTATATTCGCAATTATACGCAATGGAATTCGCACATGTCAACGCATTGTTTAATTGCATGCGACAACATACAAACTTCTACTAACCGATTCTCACATATGCATGCAAGAAAATTGTAGGGTGACATAAAATTGAAGCATATGTAGCAACCATGCAGGAATACATAGTAGAGACCTGGAACTTCGCCAAAAAAACTGTCGTCAATAACTGACGAAACTCATGTGGATATTCGCCAATGTTGGTGATAGTCAATTCGATCAATTCATCAAGGAAATATTGGAATATAATTTCATTACGTAGAAATAAATATAATGAAAATGAGAAAATTGACAGTGAGGTAAAATATGACACACACTCTCGATGAACAGGTACAGATGAACGAGTTAGTACAACACGTTGTGAAAATAAAACAATAAAAGGAAACAAATTAGGAGAAGACCACAGACAAAACATAGATACGAGCTGATAAGAAGCTCCACAATGACGTGAAATGTCTGAATGAACGGCGCCTTTTTTCTTTTCCTCTCCCAACTGGAACACTTGAAAGATAAGCGAATGATGATAGCGTCTCAGCCAGCGATCTTCTGTTTGAAGTATATAAATTCAGAAAGTCATACCCAACCAAGACTATATGAATTATGGCACGTTTTGTAACAGGTACCGATGAATTTAAAAATTTAATCTGAATAAAATACATACTAAACACATGTTAAATCACTCAACTATGAGTCAAAGGTTACTATATGTTCGTCAAATCGGTACAACCGTAGGAGGAATCGTTTGAGAATTGACAAGAAACAATATTACTTATTAATATTTTCTACTTAACTAATTGAGAATGAGGTGAAATCTCGCCAGTGTTGGTAAAATTTCTGCTACTCTACATAGTAGTCTTTTCCCAAATATAAGAGTCGCACATACATGCTTTTTTTTGAAAAAAACAAAGTTCTTCATCATTCGGCTATCTATCTACATTGGAAGTGCAATCAGAATCGAAGGATATCATGATGCTAATATAACAAAGAGGTACGTGAGTGCATGAATGCTAATAACTGAATAAATTTATAAAAAGTGAGTAAAAGTTTTGAGTTAATATAGTTTGACTATACGAGAGAATGATCTTACTTCGACGAAAAATAGATAAACATACGTAGAAGTACATACTTAACTCTTGCATGCGAGTGTTTGCAAGGATAAGAGTTATGCATGATCTGGCCTTATGTATCTAAAACGTTAAATAATTTTGATTGCTTGCATGTGGTTGTCAAACAAATATATATATATGCTGCTATATTGCCTTTATATGCAACAAGAACTGATGTTTCAGATAGCTTGCATGTTCATGTATGAGATGCACCGACAGAAAAAATATATTGCAAATTAACACGAGTTTCTTAAAATTTTCCATAGATGCACACGTTTTTTAAAGGTTCGCGTTTGACAGTGCGCAATTTTATGACATGATTTAGAATGAATAAGTTGATTCTGTAGCATCTCTCATGTAAGAATATATTCAGTTCATCAAGACTTTATGGTTTCTATTTGTAGCAACGGCAGAGAAGGATCGATCAAAGACTTTCGATTGAATTGACATGGGAATTATTTGGGAATCAGCTGATCATTTCAGATACTGCCTTAATCAAAAATTATTTCATTGCTCGCGTTCTGTATTTAAGACTCATGTCTTACCCCATTCTCCAAGATAGGTAAAATTATTTTCTGGAGTTGCGAATGAGGTGAACCTTCAATAGTTTCAACGTGGTAATGATCATCAATATCCTTCGGAATAAATACTAAGTCAACTAGAGTCATGACACTAAAACCACTCTATACTATGGTTTTCGTTCTGGTTTTCGAAATTCAATTGATGTCGACTCTTGGATCTTTTCGCCGTTGGAGAATCAACTTTTTTAGTAATCTGTGGGAGATCCTATCAATGAACATTATTCGGCTCCAGTTTTCATTTGCGTATTAAATTAGCCTCTTGATTCTCGCATTTATTCTACTTCTGCATGCTAACATTAGCATCACATAGAGCTGAGTATTTTTCCAATCAATCGGTTTGAGTTAGTGCTGTATCTTACACAAGAATGCATGCCGACCTCGATCTTCACACGATTTTATGTCGGTATTTCCACTGTTGTCTCGTTCTTTTGCCGAATCAACCCACCAATAAGCTTACACTGATTGACAGTGGCATTACGAGGTTGACCATAACATTATCTGTCTTAAACAGTTCTATGTTTTCTGTTATCTAGACGATATCGTATTTGATTGTCCAAAGAATGATTTCTGTCAAGCAAGCTATTGTGGCAGAATATCAATTACTGCTCTTCCAATACTGTAAAATAGCTTATCCTGCTTCGCTTTCAGCGAAATTAGAATTTGCTGTCGAGATACTTTCTCGCAAAGTATGAATATTTACAACGATTCGTAGTTTGCATAGTTACATATCTACCACCTTTCCCTTTTTCTTCTACAGAGTTCTCAACAAATCGTCCTAAAGGTTCCAGAAAAACTGCTTTTTTGGAATGCAAGGACTTTTGTACCCTAATACATGTAATTAAATAGTAAATTTAATTTTCTAGAAGTTTTTTCTCGTGAACAAACTGCATCGGAACAAATACTAGTAAACTCATCGAACAATACTGATGTTGAAATGTTGACATCCTCAGAGTCTATTACATCTGAGACAACTACAGAAAGATCTTTAGTAAACATGAATAAAAAAATGAATATGGAATCAAATATTGCAGACGTTTCTGCACAAAAAAGAAAAAACGATTCATCACCAGTGAACCCTTGTAGTTTATGTTTGACAGAAGAAAAATGTCTTGGTTGTATACCATGTGGTCATGTAGCCACATGTGTTCCTTGCGGTCATTCTCTTCGATCATGCCCTATATGTCGCTCAGAAATTAAGGCTTTTGTTCGCTTGTATCTTTGACACTATCTTGAATGAACTGTTTTTTTCTTGTTTTGTACAAAGAAAATGGTTTTTTGAACTGTGATAATAATAGTACATTCTGTTCATCAATCGATTTGTGTGTTCTATTCGCTTTCTCTTGGCTGTTCGTCGTCTTTTTATACACGTCGTTAACTAACCACATATTGTACATTTCAGACTATTATATTCCTCGCCATGCGTAAACTCATTTGTCTTTTCGATATGAGCGTTTTCTCCATGCATAAATGCAACTGTCTTAATATTCTCTTTCTCTGTTCTATTGATGAAATAGTTCTCTCCATGTGATATCAACCATAGGAAATGAAGTGTATCGAACTAAAATAAAGGTAGTTCATGCACGATATCACCTTTTGTTGTTACAGAAGTATTCTTACTTTTAATAAACCAGCGCACATTATCATATAAAATTCGTATCATATCTAGCCAGTTCGGCAACTAGACATAAAAAGCTTTTGACATCTTTTTTTCAAAATAAAAATGAAGAACACATGTATGTTCATATGCAAATGGATTTAGAACAGACCAATAGAATTTATAAGAAAAGTTCTAATTCACAATGGATAGTTTTTCGTGTAGTTAGCAGCAAGCTGACTTGTTCATTGTATGTCTAAAAAGTTTCTTTTGTGTAAAATTTCAAAACGGTGAATGGTTCTTCTATTCGTCTTAAACACTACAAGTGTTGTTGGTAAAATGGTCGATCGGTAACATCGTGAAAAAATTTATGAAATTACGAATACTTTGCTGCTTCAAATGATCTCATCAGATGCTATTTTTTTTAGACCTAATATGTTAAGTGATCTTTTCTATTCATGTATATACCATAATGTAGAGTTATAGCTAATCTTGTTGAATGAAACTGAACAAGTTGGAGCTGTTGAAATAGTCGGCCCTCACCAATTTTTGACGATCTCGAAAAACTTTTCGGAAAAAGCCAATATTCTTCAGATAAAAGTCTTTGACAGCATGTTTTAATACTTTTATCAACATAAAAAGCAATGTTGCTTCAAAATATTATTTGTGTTCATGTGTTTATTTGGTCATTACTATTTCTATTTTTCTAATTGCATCGTGTGCTATATCTTACAAAGCACAACTGTTGCGTGAACTACATCTTGTCACTTAATGTATTGATTTTTTTCAGAAGTCAGACTACCGTTTCTCTGCATCATAAAAACGTCACTAATGTACTTTTCAGACAACTAATAAATTGAACCAATTAAAATATTGTATGTCTTTTTGAAAAATCATTAAAATATCAGAAGTTTTCCAGGCTCCTATTTGTAAATGTTAGAAAAAAATGAATAGACCGATCGATTTTCGCCGATTGGGTGAAAATTCTTTGCATTGACAGGGCAGAATCGGTTACAAATATGTCATGATGGCAACATGTTAAGTGCTTTTATTTGTACTTTTCATCACCATACGACAAAAATCTATGATGGTTTTTGATGCATCATTAGGCTTAATTAAAGCGAAAATCAAAACGATAATCAAGTTTTATACACATATTCGAAAAAGAACTAATCCTGTAAACGATATTTAACATTGTTTGTCTGGAAAGTAAATTTACTTATGTAGATCTAGGGTGTGAGGGTGGGTGGGTGTGAACATGGATGTTGGGTGTGAATGAAGAGAAAAGCCACACCCACACGCACAGCCTTCTGTGATACTTGTGGGATAGAAGGGTCTCGATGAACGCTGGAAACGAAACCATCCGCTATTCATGCAAACCGTAGATCGGCGTGTGCATTTATTCGTGCTATATTATGGACTGAAATAATTAACGAATTGTCAACAATCACTTTTTCTTCAGAACTCTCAACATCAGGTGACG